GTCAGAGGAGTAAGGGAGGGGTGGGGAAGATGGGCTTCTTCTAGCTTACTGATTTATAAGGCAGGCAGTTGACTCAGGGGAGTAGTAGAACTGAGCAGCACACAAGGAGGCTAAATAATAGATAGCGCTTTTAATCACTATACGCACAGTGAGAGATGGCCTGCACTTCTGTGGTACCTTATTTGTGGTTCCTCTGATCAGCTTTCATTTCTTCCTTAATTGCATTGCTTAATATGATCCTTGTTAGTATTAGCTTCTTAGCCATTTTTCATGGAAAGAACTGGTTGTGCTCCAAGGTACAGAATCGTAGTAGAAGTGATCCTTTTCAGTGATCATTCCCATATTGAGGAATTCTGTGCTCCCCAAAGCCTATCTGCATTCATTAAAGGTACTTTCTATCCTTAAGGTGAAAACCTGACTTTTCTCCATTGTTCTTGGTGGTTTAATCTAGTGATTTTCTTACAGTGGTCTGATTCTTTAAATTGTTGTTTTATAGTCTGACTTTGTATTTTCTGGGTTTTTGTTTTTTTTTTAGTAATTTTTGTTAGTTCCTTTGATTTCTTTTTGGTACAAAAGTGGGATAGAAAAATTTTACATAATGAAATTAAATTAATACTTAATTAGCTATAGCATAGCTAATCAGCACAACTTGGCAACAATAGCCAACGCACACATGTATTTATATGCTTACACATATAAGCACTGTACTAACATTTCCATGTATGCTTATATATGCAGTACTGCGTCTAGAAAAAGGAATAGAATCTATTCTTCCCAGTTTTATAGTTTTCCTAGATAGAGGAATAAACAAGATATAAACTGAAGGTTCCTTGACAAGGGAGTAGATAAAAAGACCACACCAAGGTAAAGGAAAGCTTAAGGAAGCAATTCCAAATCCATGGGGACTATGCTCTTTCAGCTTTGCTCATGATGTGTTTTTTCTACAAAGTCAATAATACACAACTGTTGGGAGAAGTCAAAGCAGGAAAGATTTGCACAGGAGCTAGAAATCTTTCTACTTTACTAAATTACTAAAGACATAGATCCTTCAATGGGGGTGGAGTTAGTTCTTTTTGTAATTGGTGAGAGCTGAACATATATGGGAAGATGCAAAGCAAGGAGAAAGCTAATGTATTAAAATAACTTCCACTGCTATAGATATGTCATGGTATATGCATAGCCATGTAATATAAATGATTTAGCTTGCCTGATATATTTAAGCACATAAATTATGATCAAGTAATACTGCACATTTAATGAAATGGAGCTATCCCCCAGATTACATATAGCACATTAATGCAAACTTATGCATATATACTCTGTTAACTTAGCCAGTAACTGGATAATAGGGTTTTTTAAAAAAAACACTTCAGTATCAGCCATGGAGCTAAACTCTTTGGAATTTTTCATACCTCCCAGAATCCATCGGAGTTGGGCGGCCAATAAATTTAAACAAATAAAATAAATAAATAAATAAATAAATAAATAAATAAATAAAACATATCCATAAGACAAAGACAGTACATATTTTGCATTGATATGCAGGTAGTCCCTGGGTTAAGAACGCCTGGGTTACAGATGACCCATAGTTAAGAACAGAATCTGTTGTAGCAAAATTCGATTTAAAAATGCAATGATTCAAGTTAAATACACAATGGTTCGAGTTCATTACGCAATACTACTTATACAGTATTACACAATAATACTGTTCCGGCTTACAAACAAATTCGACTTAAGGACAGACTTTGGCAATAGAACTCGTTCTTAAACTGGGGACTATCTGTACATAAGTGAAATAATGTTTTTAAACTATGGTGAGTGTTGCTGCTGATCCCGCTGGTCCTTTGAGTTAGAACTTCCTGATCTGGGCTGCAACTATCTTGCAACTATTAGATGAAAGCAGAAAGTTGCAGAACAATCTAACTCTTCTAACTCTCTTGTGGTCTGGTAGATATCTGGACTTTTGTAGCCCGACTTTGAACAAGTTCAGCTCTAAAATGACTTTGTAAATACTTTCATGTCGTTTTCTTGGGAACAATATGGAAGTGTATGGAACAATATGGAAGAATAGGCATGAAAGCCAGCTGGGTGACTTTGGGCCAGTCACACTCTCTCAGCCCAATTCACCTCATGGGGAAAATAGGAGGAGGAAGGCATAAGAGGTATGTTTGCCGCCTTATAAAAATAATAAAGGCAGGATAAAAAAATCTAAAAAAAAGTGGGGGGTTTTCCCCCTGGGATTTGTACTGAATTGGCAGGTTACCCTGCAGCTCTGTATTTCCTGATGGTCTTCCATCAAAATACTAACTAGCTCCCATCTTCCTCAGTTTTTCTGAGATCAGTCAAGGTTGGTTAGGTACAGCCAATGACCTGTACTAAAAATATTTTTAAAAATAATAAAAATCACTGCTCTGGATTACTGCAGTGAGCTGCAGTCTTAAACATATGCTGGAAACAATCCATTGCTTTTATTAGATTAAATTATTTTAAGGACTCCACACAATATATTAGTAGTTTTATTTTTAATTATGCCAATATTCTGCATTTAAAAGGAAGCTCAATTCTGCTTGCCTTAAAATTGACAAGGTATTCATATGACTTGAACAGCGATAGGGCTGATTGTTAATTGCTTTTACTGCCATAATTATGCACCAGTTGTCAGGGCTATTAGAGAAGAAGTTTGGAAATCAAACTCCTTGAGCAAAAGCTGCCTTTAGAAGCATTTCTGTCTTTCCTGTTGCGCATCTTGAGATTAGAGTAAAAAATCTTCCAGTTTTGATCCAAGGCTGTATGCTGTCCTTGATAAAGGTGACATTTGAAAAGTCACCATAAACTATCTTCATCAACATTTAAGACATTGATTAGCCTTAGAGAAGAATTATGACCTTGAAGTGCAGTGAATATGGCTTAATGATCTCAGATACCCTTAGTACCAAGCATGGCAGCAGCTTCTGTGTGTCTTCTTCTTCTTGCCAGGATTCTGCCTTGATTGTTCCTAAGCATGTCTTAGCTTGCAATTGCCTCCCTATCACCTGAAGTGTTCCTGAGTTAGAACGACTTGATGATGTAATGCAGGTGTGACTGACTTTACCATGGCCTTCTGATTCAGCAGTTGAAGCCCCAAACAGGGCACTAGATTAGACGATAAAGCAATGTCAGCAAGAAATCATCAGGCTGTTGCCATTCTTGGAGAGACCTTGGCAGTGCTGCAGATACCTGCCTGTTAGGGGCTTTGCAGGTTTATGTCTGAGGGCTATAGAGTGCTAAGGGTGTGAGTTTGCAGGCAGTCCTCCTTATCTGCACCTTGCCTTCTGCATTTCTAACAGAACAACAAGCAGAGGGAAATCCACACAGGGGAGGGAGTGTATCTTGTGCAAAATTAAAACAAAGGCAAACTTCAATTCAGTATCACAAATATAGAAGATGATGATGTTGGACTGCTTTAAATTTGGATAGTCCTTTTTCCTTTTTAAATATTGCATTTTATATCGCCTCCTCCTCTCAGCAAATTGAGATGCAAAGCACAATTTTCCTCAGTGCATTTTTAGAAAGTGACAAAAACTGATAAATCTGCCCCAGCACTTCATATAAATAACTCTTCCCCATCATCCCTAGTGTCATAGCTATTGACTTGATAGGAATCATAGGCCAACACACTTCCATGATGCCAGGTTGACATCTCATGGATTATAGCCCATGGAAGCTTATGCTCTAATAAGTGTATTATTCTCTAATGTGTCACAAAGCTTTCTGTTGCCTGGCTGCAACAAACTAGCAAGGTATCCCAAATTAAAGCTGAACAAGTTAAGGCTCTAAAAATAATGGCTTGCTTTAGGGTTACCAACTCAAGATTTTTTCTAGGTTTGCAGATTATGTTAAATTTAATGTTGCTTGATTTTGGCTTTGCTTGTCATTTTAACCCAATCATGATAGTTTATTTCTACCATTGTGGTTTATTAAACAAAATGTAAGCCATGGATTATTTCAGTGTGTAAACCCAACTGGAACACTTTGTCTTTCTAGTTGACAATCCAGTACCAGTGTTTATATGTGACATTTATTATTCTCTTATCCAAAGTAACCCCCTAAAATCCAGGGCTTTTGTGACAGATACCACTAACTATCAAGTTGAATCCATGCAAACTTGTTCTTTAGGATTTAATACTAAATAGATAGATCTCCTCAGTTCTATTATCATAAATGATTGTCTGGGTGAATCAGAACGTTTCCTTACCAAGCTACATCGGTCTGGTCCGTTAATAGCTGTTATCTGAAATTAAAACTGATTTGCTGAATTGACATCAACTTAGGTCAAAATGGAAGAGGCTGATGTATTTCAAAGTAGGGAAGAATTTGCTGGACTTAAATGCAGAAAGTCTCTTTATCTTTTCCTCCCAAACTGTGCTCATTTTGGGTAGCAAAGTGTAAAACTGACTGCATGCTTACAGTTAACTGAAGAAAGATCCAGTGCAGCATCAGGCAGCCAGGGAAGAACGAGCGTGCTGTAGAACAAAGACATCCTGCCTGTTGCCAGCATGAAGGTTTTGCTGGGAGCTTAGTGTGCAGGGGTACAAAAGGGTTATCAGTGCCCCAAGGGGTTAATGGAATTAAGGTACTGCATGTATTACCCCCCACTGCTAGGGAACTGGTTTTATTTCCTCAGAGAGGCTTGCAATTTTGTGCTGCAGCTTGTGCTAAAAGGAGAAACCCAAACAGCCCTTTGTCTGTTATACCTGCAGTGGGTGTTAAAGAGGCAGCACTGCAAAGCAGAGGGGACAAGAGTCAGTGATGTAGGGAAATAGTGCACTACAGCTTTAAGCATAGCTGTCAGGAGCCATCAGAGGGAAAGCAAGGGAGCAAGGGGATGGCGAAGGAGGTACCAAAGGAAGGGTCTAATTTCTTCTCCGCCTTCCTTGCTTCATGTGGCTGCTTTCTGGGAGGTTGTGCCAGTAGCAGGGAGCTCGTGTGGAAGATTTCCTCTGAGTGTATAGAGAGAACTTGAGAAAATGCTCCATGCTCCGTTGCAAAGATCAGGGAGGACACTCCGGACCGTACACTTTGCCAGACCCAGCAGGTAAGGAAGGGATGCAGGTGGGTCTTGGTGGATCGGAGTTGCTTTGGTGTGGGAAGGTCCAGAAGCCTTGTAAAAGAAACAGACTGGTGATGCATCCGCTGGTATCTTGGTGTCTCCGCCAGCTGTGCCCTGCTCTGACAGTGAAGTATAATGTGCTAAAAATCCTCACCCATCCCATCGGCTGGTGTGATCTGGAATGAGGGGGGCTTTGCCTGAGTCGTGTTCAAGAAGGAACAATGACAGGATTTGGTGGCTGGGGTGGGGGCTCCTGGCTCACTCAAATGCAATGCAAACCATTTCGAAGCCTTAGCTTGTTGGGCGTGTATACTGCAAACTTAAATTTCAAGAAGATATTCTCCAACCCTTTCCATCTCTCTCAAAGTTGGGTGAAAAAAGCTACAAAGGGAGTGATTTCCTTCTTATTGCTGATTCAAGAAAACCTATTTGCCCCTTACTAATTCAAGAAAGCCTAAAGGAAAATAATTTAAACATTATCTGAAATGTTCAGCCAAAAAGAGAAAATGTAGAGAAAGAAAATGTTATTGCTCAGAATGACTGTGATTTCTTTTTCTCTGCTTTTTACAAAATGTACTCAGCTGCAGCATGCCATGTGCAGAGACTGGCTGTGGTCTGAGAATGACACCAGCACACACAGAGATGGGGAAGGGGCAGCTGGGGAGGCTCAGGGCATTTGATCAGCAGAGAGCCATGCAAGAGAGAGCTGCAGCCGATTCACACAGCCCTGTTTTCCTCCATTGCATTCTCTTCTGTTCCTTGCAGTGTTAGTGGACCGTTGGGGAGCCTGTAGTCTCTCTCGCTCGCTCTCTCCTTTAGGCCACCTGGCTGTACTTCCTCCCTTTCTTTTTGTGTGTGTTTTGATTTGAAATGTGCCTGCCTGGTGTCTCCCTGCAGCCCATCCTCTGTGAAATGTGATCTTTCAGAAAGGGGAGTGAAGGAAGGGGCGGAGGCCGTGAGGAAGGAATAGGTGGGACTTGGACAGTTTGAATTTGTGGGGAGCAGCCTCTGGAGCACGTGCTCGGGTGAGACTGTCTTGGCTTGCAAGGAGCCAAAGCCAGCACTTAGGAGTAGCAGAGCAGATGTGAGCCAAGCGACATTCATGGATGGATGGCCTGGGAGCCTTGTAGTGAGAGGAAAGGCAATATCCTGTCTGAAATAGGTTACAGATGGAATTGCAGCTTGGTTCAAAGGTGGCTTTCCAGAGGTTTTGCTGTCTGGTGCCTGTGAACATTCTCTCCAGTGAAATGGAAAGGAAGCAGTAAGCTTGGCAAGAAGGGACATTACAGAGCATCCTTGCTTTAAGGGAAATTCACTCCTTAAAGATTCTGCTGCAGATCTGAAGAGTCATTTGTGTCTCTTGCTTACTTAGCACTGATTCACTGAAAACAAAAGGACCTTACGCCTCAGTTGAATCTTTAAATGTTCTGTTTAGTCTCATAGCTTGGATCCCAAAAGTGCATCATAATATTGCCCAGAAACCGGAGAACCATCTATAAGGGGAGGGAGGTTGCATATTGGGCTCCAATTTTTAAATGGTTGTTTTTCCTCTGTCACAATATGACTTTTTTTTTTTTTAATAATAACCATAACGTAACTTTGTTTTGGACAATGGCTGTGTAAGTAACACATTTCTGTCTTGAAATACTTACTGGTCTCTATGAGAATCTTACAGCCAGATGTCCATGTTTTTTTCAGATTGAATGTGTAGTTGCATTCCATTCTGAAAGGCAGTGAAACTACTCTGTTCTGATTATAGCCATTCTTGGTCTGCTAAATAGTTACAATCTTTTTCTTTCCACAAGGAAATGAGAACTTATAGGAAGGAGTGGAAAATGGATACAGACTGGAAATCTTTGACGTAGGTTTCCTTTTAAGAAAGAGAACTGATGGTCTTCTGGAACAACCTCATGAATTTTTGTTTTAATTTTAATTTTTTTTTTTACTCACAGAAATTGAACTTTTTTGAGTAATTAGCACTGAGCTGAATTGTTCTCTTCTTATATTTTCCCTCATCTCTCTCTCTCTTGCCCTCGTCTATTAAGGAAAAGGAAGATGGAATAATTGCATCATGCTTTTTTGGTTGATAATTCTGAGCCTTCTTTCTGAAAGTAGTCTTAGAGGGCCTTTTAGCCACCTAACATCTCTGAAATAGATTTGGTTGAGAGAGAGTAATCTCCATAGCTAGGCTAAGGTGTGTGTATTAACACCCAATTCTTCATGACACTGGAGAGGCTGTCCTTGAATACCAAGTGCATATGCTCTGCGTGTAGATATGTAGTTTGGTCTCTAGCTGTCTCAATGACAATGTTTGGTAGTGGGGCTGGGAAAAAGACCTATGGACTGTGTTTAAAAGAATGATTCTTGGACTGATGCTTTGTGGCTTAAATTTTGTCTTAAACAGCATTATGCTTTATACCCAATTATCTTTAAGCATGGCCATTGCCAAGAGATTTGCTGAACCAGCCAAAATTGTGCCTTCAGTACTTCTGAGTGAATAAGTACATAAGCATTTCCATATTGAATCAATCTACCTCAAGAATGGTGTACAAGAATCCTCAACACAGCATGGCTAACCTCCTCTTGTTTGTTTTTTGTATCTGACAATCACAGATGTACTGGTTTTACATATTGCATTTTTGCTCTTGAAGATAATAGCTGTTGAAGAATCTGTGTTCATTGGCATGTAATCCTATAATTAGAGATGCAGAGAAGAACCTTATTTCTGGGCAAAAAGATAAAGTAGTTTTCTCTCTGAAAGTTCTCTCCTTTTTTTTTTTATCTCCATCATGAACAGGAATTGAACAGCTGTGTGATACTGGAATGGGAGCAAAGGAGTTACCGATTGATTTACTCTTGGTTATGAATATAATATTTGTTCTATTAGAAAAAAAAGTAGCAATTCTATAAAATGATAGCTGTATGATCCCTGGTTTAGGGTTGTGAATGCGTGCATCCCTAATTCCTGTCAAGGGGTTTATCTCCAGCTTCAGTTTAAATGTTTTAATTCCAGAGACCCTGGTATCCTGAGGGATGAGGTGGGGCAGGACGGAGTCTATTGATTTATTGAAAAAGCAGTTGGAAAGACTGAGGGACATAAAGAAGTCATTTCCTCTGCGGTGTGTGAGAATTTCGGCCATAATACATACCGCCTGCTGGTATTTGAGTGCCCTCTGGAGTGAATTGCTTTGAATTGGTCCACAGCGCAGATACTGTGGCCTAAGCATTCAGAAAATTATGTCCAAGCACCAAAGATTCCGGGTGTTTCCCAATATTTTTTTGGTCACTGATAAATAATTGTAGAGAGTTTCCAACAGAGTTTGGAAATTAGTAGCTAAGCATACATACCCTGAGCTGCACTGAAATCAGAAGAGATTATTTCAAATTGATGTGTGGAAGTTCATCACAGGAAAAGATAAAATAAATGGATTGCTGAGTATCAGAAAGTCAGCAGCTGTTATTGGAAGTACCAGCAGCTGGTATTTCTTAGACAGAACTGAGAAAAAATGAAAGACTACAAATAATGCTTGATGGGCTTCAGAAGTACAGGGAGTCCTCCTTTAGTGACTGTCTCATTTAGCAACCATGCATAGTTACGACAGTGATGAAAAAGTAACTTTACGACCAATCCTTGCATTTATAACCTTTGCAGGTTTGTAAAGCAAAAGAAAGCTGAAGTAAGATCATAACACAGTTGTGGTTTCACTTAGCAACCACTTCACTTACCGACTGAGTTGCTGATCCCAATTGTGGTTGCTAAATGAGGACTACCTATATTATGCATGTGAGAAGACAGGAATGATCATCATGTAACCCAAAGACCATGGTTATATACACTCTTCTTGAGCCCAGGTTATTCTATTGTCCTGGCTACATAGCTTTCCTCCCTGGAAAATTTGCTTTCTTTTTCACTCACATTCACTTCAGGCTTCATTGGTTAGGCTCCATGTAAGCCTGGCTTGCCTATTGATTAATAATATTCATTATTGTTGGATTAAAAGCCCCTTGTCCTTTACAAAGCCTTTAGCAAGCTTATTCCAGCTATTTCAGTTAAAAGGCCTTCTAGCCGTAAATAGTGTCACTAAATTCACTTATCTCACAATAGCACTTCCTTTTTCTGGCCTTGTTGAACAGATTTTCTCTGTGAAAGAGAGGAGGGGTTGTATCAAAGTTCATCTAGTTTGGCCTTTGCATGGAGCTTCCATGAATGCCCAAAAAAATGCAGAAGTCACTTTGGAAGTATTGAAAATGCTATGGAAATGGAGAGCCTATCTGAATAACAATATTTCTGTTGTGAAGCTTTCTTATCAATAGTCTGTCCTCTCTGAGAAGAATAGGAAGGTGATGGTAAAAATGATGAGAAGAATAGGCAGGGTACGGTGGAAAGTGGAAATTCCTTCTGGCTCATGCTTCATTGCAAACTGGAGGACAATTGTTGGAAACTCTTCCAGGTTTCTTTAAGAACTCTTGGAAATATCAAGCATGTCCAAGGACTTTGCCCAACACTAATTTTCAATTCTGTTCTAAACAATTGCCATCTTAATGCCAAGACAAGCTGGAGCCAGTAGTTAATAATTCCTGTTATTCTAGCCCAGTATTTCTCAACCTCAGCAGCTTTAAGATGTGTGGACATCAACTCCCAGAATTCCCCAGCAAGCATGCTGGGAGTTGAAGTCCGCACATCCTAAATTTGCTGAGGTTGAGAAACACTGTTCTAGCCCAAATAGTAACCTAGCAAGGCAGGGGTATACAACTTTTTCCAGGGCTGCATTTGGTCTTTGAGCATTATGGTACAGCTAGTGTCCAAAAAATAGTGGGAAAGAGTTGAAGAACTCAATTTGATATGATTATACTTACATTTAATTAAAATTAAATATCATTAATCTGGTTACTCTCCACTCATGTATTTAATATTATTCTCTTTTGGACCCAGAAAGCACTTCTGGATTATTAACAATCATGCCATGGAACAAGTGCAATATTTT